TATTAATGGTGTAACAATAGACTGGTATAATGCAGTTTTGCTGCTCTGGCAATGCATCAACGCAATTTTCTGTACCAGTCACACTTACAAATCAGTGTATTCCTCGCAATTTATACAATTTTCTTCAAGAGCCATGTTTTCTTTTACTCCTAGATATATGCTTAACAAAAGATTGTAAAACAAAATGCACAGTAGCATTATTTGGTAACATTTATTTTGCAGACAGCATAATACATAGCTATTATATCTCTATACATTATATATTCAGAGCCAACATTTTTACTTCTATATGGATGCAGGACATTAGTTTTTCACCTGGAAATTCCTAAACTTGACATTTTTGGAAAGGAAAGTGACCACAATCCTGGCTCTATTAGTATTATTGTTTCTAAGCTTTTTACATTTGAACATGAAAAAGAACTTTTAGGACTATTTGGGACTTAATTCACAATACTAAGTTCTTTATAAATTTTCATTTTGTATTGGGGGATATAAATTCCTTGTTGATTTTTATAAAACTTGTTTGGTTTCCACTCTTTTTCTCTTGCTTAGTTTAAAACCACAGTCTCAACAATGTGAGTTTTGTGTCATTTACCCCATTTTGGAAAGTTATTTCCCTTGTGAATTGGTTTGATATCTTATTATTGGATGCTGGTTGTAGTTAATACAGCTCATGAACAATTCAACATTTTGATGCAGTTTGTTGTGAATATTGTTTGTTAGATCTAAATGTGTCTTATTCATTCTTTCTTGTCTGCTCCATTTTTTTAAGAGAGTTATGGCCCCCTAGTTGCCCATCAGCATCTTTACATTGGATGTTATATTCATTAGCCTCTGAAGAAGATGCTTAGGCATTTTACAAAGAATTATGCCCCATGAATGCCTTATTTTGGATTCAAAACACAAGTTTCTCTATTCATGGCCCCAGTAACCAAATTGTCATGAGTTGGGCATTTTAGGTTGAACCTATCACTAATAGTTCTACTTTTTTCTAGTTTTTTTTTTTAAATTCCAAATTTAGAAATTTATCTCAGATACAAATCTGTAATTACATAGAGGTCTTAAAATGCAGTTTAAATAATATATCTCGCATTAGAGACACTGTATTACTAGGTAATTTACATTACTAGGCAATATTAGTGCAGAACTTATTTCTTTCTCTTTGAATCAAAATCCTCTTAACAACAGTAATACAAAATTAAAAATCCTGACCTTGTTGATTGAAGGGTTTGAGAGAGTTTCCAGCACTCAAGCCAATATCTAATCCTCATTTAATCTAGGTTTTATGCTTTTATGACATTCAGAGAAGGTAGGAGATGTTGTGATAGAGTTTGTTTGTTCAGACTTTAATTAATGTACATTAGTACCCCCACGTATCTAGGAGCATTTGAAAAGAGGGACAAAAATGTTATCTTCGTGAGAAGTCTTTGGTTTTATTTCACTCAATAATGTCCTGAGTCCAGAAGATATTAATTATTCTGGTACGAATTTCTTATATATTAACATAAAAGGCTAATAGAAAAATCATTTGTCAACAGCTACGGCTGGTAATTAATTGAATAAAGGCTAAATTGGAGTTTTAGGGAAAGTAAGGGATTTAATTTTCCATTCCAGCGTCATAAGGTCCTATTCATTACAGAATAGCTTGATAAGATGTGAAAAGAATTGGAAAGAAAATTTGTCCTGCTTAAAATTGAAAGGAAACTGAGAGATTTGACTTTCAAATGAGATTAAGGAGTGAGACATGCTGTTCTTCCCAATTACTGAAGTCTTAATTTTTGTGTTCAGATAAGATGGCTCATTCAAGAAGTGTTTTGTGCTGAAGAGATTCCATTGGTCTTAGAAGAAAAAGATTCACCCTGTAATTAACATCCGAGAGCATTTCAGATCCAATTAATCGCAATCAGATCACCACCCTTGCATATCAAATGGAAACTAATAACAGGTTTTTACTAATAACAGGTTTTTAAAAAATGAAGCTTTTATTTCACTGGCTACATTTTACTACCACTACAATTACCTGTTATGCTTCAGAGAAGAACCTCTCTGCTAGATAATGCAACTTGGAGAAAACATTTTACTACTTAAAAACCAAGTTAAGGCTTTTCAAAAAAACTATTATTTAAAAATTTTACATTTTTAGGCCTGTGACAATTTTTTAAAAAAATATTTAATTGCATTTTATCAAATCACCCCACCACCACCACCATTATTACATCATCTTATATGTCTGATATAGCAAAGGATATATTGTCAATCCATCTATTCAGTTCTCTTTCTGCCATTACTAGACATTGTACTTAGCTTGCATTTGGTTTTGGGCTCAGCAGTTCAAAGGTGAAGTTTGCAGGAACTGTGAGAAAGAACTGTTAACTGGTTTAACTTGATTTGTATACCAGTTAACTTGACATAACTTTGTAAATGGATTGCATTTGAGACCAGAAAGATGCCTGTTCATTTGGGGTTAAACACCAGAGTAATAGAGACTTGAAGAACAGTTGTTTCTTCATATCTTGAGTTCTATATAAACTACTTTGAACAATCTTTTTGGATGGCTTTCATGTGAGATAGGGATGACACCTATTGAGTTTGGAATCAAAAGGTCAAAGGTTAGTTTCATAGGAACTGAAATAAGTAAAAATGATTTTCACAGTACAAAATATATTGATTTGAGGGTTTAGAGGTCAGAGGTCATAATTGAAAGGACTTGGAGAAGGGTAACAGTTTCCACTGTCTTATACCACAAACCATGACCAAACTTTTTACATTCGAGAGAAGAATATTACCAGTTTGCTGATCATGGTCAAGGTCATTACAACTGAATACAAAAGAAATGTTTTTTAATAAATGACTTCATTTCTGTGTCATTACATTGACCAAATTTGATAGAGGGCTTGCATTTAAAGGAGACCAGAAATTACTATAAATATAGAATAATAATAAAAGCACTATAAAAGAAAACCTTATTATGAATTATCGTCTGCGACCATAATGTCACTATATAAATATGACATATCTTCAAGGTACTGAATTTCCATGACATATGCAAAATTTCTGCGCCTATTTGATTACTTTCGTGATGTGACGTCATAGTAGCGATTCCAGCATCCTGGCAGTTGCCAGCAAAAAGATCTATTAAATCCTGGGAAAAGTGTTAAGTGTGAGTTAGGAAAATAGAAGGCAGATTAAGTGATCCACAAAATGCAGTAATCAATTCACTTATCTTTTATCTACACCAGCAGTGCTAAAAAAAAAATTATATATCCTGACACCTGGGGTTCCTTTAATTTTAGTTGGATCCATCGGGCTTATCAAAGAAAATTGTTTGCCTGAGGAAATGAGTAAATGTATTTTCAAGATGTTGACATACATGCCATACCACAGAACAATATAAATCAAATCACCACAGTCCTATGTGAAATTGAGGTCTAATTTTAATGACATGGAAGCTTTGCACAATATCTGCGACATGATGCCCCAGTGCTAGACATCACTATAAACTGCCACACTGCAGACATCATAGCGATATGACTGAAAAAAATTTAAGCTACATTAAAAATTTATAATCACATCACATCACCAACAATGTCACCAAAAATAAAAATCTCCAGATGGTATATTTTGCCACCAGTAAGTGGGTAAAAAAAAATCAAATTTATCCTAAGTAAATTTTTACTTGTTATTTTTCATACCTTTAAGAAAAAAACACCATTTTTTATGTATGAGAAAAATGCATTTAAAATTTCAGTAGCCACGCCACGATCGTATTGTGTTATTCATATGTGATCTCTTCCCTAAAATGATAATAAACTTTGGAGGGGGTGTACTTTTAAGAAATAAATTTTTTTTCCATGTACAAGAAAAATACATGTGTATGAAATTTTTGGAGCCACACCACAACTGTGTTGTATCCAAATTTGTGTTATAACAGATCCTGCTATAGCAGGGTCACACTGTACCTGCACAATTTCACTTGACTCCCTCCTCCACTTTCAAGAGAAATGGTAAAAGCCACAACCCCTTTTATTACATCTTCAAAGTCGCTCATCTGTGACACTGATTTGTTTGCATCAAGAATAGCTACTAGTAGTTTATGAGTAACAGAGTACAATCCTGCTGCAGAGGGAATAACTGATCTTATCTTGGTGCAGGTATAAAGCACTTTACTTACTTTTTAGATTGAATGAGGCACCATCAAAATTGGCACATACTAGAAATGACTTGTTTTCAAACAGAATCATTAGATTTGAGGTTTTCATACTTGATGTCAGAATTTGACAAATTATTTTTTATTCCAGAAAATATTTCATCTGGTTTTCCTGAAGTTAGGGTCTCAGTACCAACTATTATTGTATGGGATATTTTCTTTGATGGTGATAGATAATGTACATACATGATTTTTTTATTCACATGACTATTGATCCAAATGATTAAAATGCTGATGTAATGTGCATCTCTGATTTCACATTTGGTTGGATCCAGAATGGAGTCTGCAATACAAGCAATGAAGTCAGTGCATCCATGGGAATTTTCATTTAAAACCGACACCATCTTTTTCTGCACAGTACCAAAAAAGTTAAAAATCAGAATATTGTTTTCCTGCTTTTGCAATACAATAGGCAGTATTGAATATGTATGACATCTGCTCTTTGTTCAGTTTAATCATGGCATTGATGTTCATCTGCTACAGCATACAATTTACTATCTTTACTGAATTTAAATATGATGGCATTTAATGTCTTCAACCCTCAGATTTGTGTCCAAAGAGTTATGGCTTATAGGACACAAAAATTCTTTCCAATTTGTAGGCTGTCTCTCATGCCTTGTTTTTCCCACACAGCCATGGACAAGGAGCTTTGGCAAAGGTTTTATGAGGGCCAGAGTTCACTAGATAGCATTGGGGTGGTCTCCTGCTATTTCCTACAGAATCTGCACAAATTTTCTAGTCAAGACAATGGACGCATTAGAGTTAAAGGGTAAATCTCTACTTACAATTAACTATTCTGGTGGCCTAGTGGTTAGAGTGTCCACCTCAGATGCAGAAGGTCGTGGGCTCAATTCCCCGTAGAGTCATACCAAACACTTACAAAAATAGTACTAGCAGGTGCCTCGCTTGATGCTCAGCATTAGGAGGTTATTGTTAGGACTGGTCAGCCTGATGTCTGGATAATGTGACTGGGTGGGACATCATGCCACATGTCTGCAGCATGATGCCCCAGTGCTAGATATCACTATAAACTGCCACAATGCAGACATCATAGCGATATGACTGAAACATGTTTAAAGCTACGTTAAAAATCATAATCACATCTAGTTACAATTGCCTTGCATGCTTCTTCATCCTACTGAAGGAGGACTCTGTCACCAGCCGAACTACAGTTCAGTGGCTATGACCTCTTGACCTGCATTGTCAATGTTCATTGCATTATTAACAGATCTTCTCCACTCAACCCCAGGATTGTTGCTTGGATCATAATGGATCAAAGTGAGAATATTCTGCAGTCTCCTTTGGAGGCAGAGACTCTTCCTGAACATTATTCCTAATTTAGCAATGCAGATCTATTCCAAAATCAACCCAAACTCTGCTGGGGTTACCAGAGAGGCCATGGGAGAAAGCTTGCAGGCTTTTCTACCTTTCCACAGAAATGGGGGTGGGTGGCCAACCCTGTGGACTTCGTTTCTTTTGTGTGTTTTGTCCCTCTTCCAAACTTTGTGGATAGCTCACACCTGAGATAAGGAAGAATCTTTCAATTTCAAAGTAAAAATATCAAAGGTGATTGGTCACACTTCCTTAAATTTGAATAGAATTCCATTCAGTCAGTGGATTTTATTAAATTTTTCATGTGTTTACCATATTTTATGAATGACCCTTTTGATTGATAGAGATCAGTTATTACTATGCTTAAGAACCCAGAACACATTTTCACTAGTACATGTCTCCAGCTAATCATCACGTTCTGATTAGTTTTAATTTAGACTTAAATTTCACATCCATTCTTGATTTTATTTCACATTAATGGTTTCTTGATTTTAAGTTTTTATGGTTTGGGGTTTTTTGGTAAAAGGCAATGAAATTCTCATGCTTGCTTCACGTTAGCAGATCAGGAGATAATTGCATTACATTCTTTTGTCACAGACTCAGTACCATTTAAATTTTGATAAAGATTTTTTTGTCTTATACCTTCCTTCACAGAACAATTCACAGGCAAGACATGTTTTTGCAGAACATAGGTTTCTTTTTGCTGATTCAAAGATAATGGATACTTACTGTAGGTTCTTTATAATTTCAGGCTGTGCACCAAGTGTCAAATCAGTCGTTATGGCAACAGGATCTTCAGTTGATCCTGAGCTGAAGCTTGATATTCCAGAAAACCAGACATATGTAGATCACATAGAATACAAGATAACCAGCCCAGACAGAGAACGCATCAGCACTTCAAGGGTTTCCATAACGAGTGAGTTTTCGTCAAGCCAGGCATCATCAGAAGATGTTGAAAAAAGTATGTCATTGCAGGAGACTGTGGCATCCAATGCAACATTTGACACAAACTCAAACTTTATTGTATCCAGTCAAAATGAATGTGATGAATCAAACGACCAGATCCTGACAGATCCGGTTGTCTTGAGTGATGCCAGCACTAGTTTAGAGAGATCAGTAGACAGAATTGAAAGAAAATGTTTAATTGATGAAACAGATAAAATAGTCTCTCCTGTTAAGTTGGTGGAAGATCTTTCTAAGTTTGCTGGTGAGGACATTTTAGGCCGAACTGCACCATTAGCTAGTCTGGAGTTAGATGATGATCTGGATATAACAGTGTCATCACAATGTAAATTAGAAAATACTTCGACCTCGGAAAACATCAACAGAAATCGTGATCCAGATGATTTAAATAATAACCTGGAAGTATTAACAATGCCACAACAAAGAGAAGAGAATGTAGTTGAAGAAAGACCATCAGAATCATCTTTTGCTGTTTCAGAGATGGGAAATAGACCTGCTGACAAAGAAAATAGAGAAGGAGACCTTTCTCAAGGTCATATTGTTGAAGTCAAACAACAATCTAAGGAGGATGAGAAAACAGGTGAGGTAGTGGTTATCACAGAAACTATCACAGAGGAAGTGGAGAAAGAAACAGTTCATGTCACAGAAATTGAAGAGGTGTGGGAATATGTTGCAGATAGTAATCATGGTGTGGTGATCAGGAAGAAAAATGTTGTCAGTCAGAAAGAAGCAGATGAAGTCAATCTGAAAACTTTGCGCAAAAGTCATATCACAACAGAGAGGCATAGAAAATATACAGATGATGAGGCAAAGATAACCTCAGAGGTCTCAATTCCAAACCAGGTTGAAATTGAAGTACAAGAGAAATCATCTATTACTGCTCCAGATACAGAGAGTCAAGGAATCAACAAAGGAGAAGAATCTGATAATAAAAAACAAGAGGAACAAGAAATTGCTGAATTATCAAGGAACCAGGCTGAAATTGACTTACAAGATAAACCATCTTTTTCTGCCCCAGATACAGAGAGTCAAGAAATCAAAGGAGAAGAATCAGAACATAAAAAGCAAAGTTGCGAGGAACAAGAAATTACTGAATTATCAGCTGTAACAGCTGGATTATCATTGCAAGAAAACATCATGCTGTTTGATAGTGAGCAAAGACCTGCCACTTATGAATCCCAGGGTAGTAATTTCCAGATTGAAGAAACTCAACAGTTGTTAAGCTCAGTGCTTATCAAAAAAGAAAAGGCCAGTGAGATTGTTGCTGTTGGAGCAGATCCAGTATCAGAGATGGAGTGTGATCAAAACAGTGATAAGCCAGTAGGAGAAAATAAAGTTCAGAGAAGTAGGGAAGGTAATCAGAAGTCAGCATCACTGTCCTCAGCGGAGGATTCTAGGGCAATGATTATTGAAAAAGAGGCAGAAGAGGTAAGTCTCGGAATTTCCAACATAAGTCATATCACCACAGAGGGGCATAAGAAACAAACAAATTATGACATGGACAAACCTTCAGAGGTCTCAGTTCAAAATCAAGATGAGATTGTAGTACAAGAGAAATCATCTATCACTTCCTTAGAGAGAGAGAGTCAAGAAATCAAGAAAGTTGGGGAGTTGGAGCAGGGTCGAAATGAACAAGAATTTGCTGAATCGTCAGATGCGAAAATTAAAATGTCTTTGCAAGAAAACGTTGCACTGGTTGATAATCAGAAAAGACCTGCTACTTGCGAATCACAAGGTGATAATTTGCAAATTGTGGAAGCTGAACACTTATTGCTGAGTATGGACCTTGTGAAAGAAGAAATAGTCCATGAGATTGTGACTGTTGAAACAAGACTAGTATCAGAGATAGTTACTAATGTAATAAATGATACACTAACAGCAGAACATAAAGTGCTGGGCAGTGACGCATTGAATGCAGAAGGAAGTCAGATCTCAGAATCAGAGTCCACAGCCCAGGATTCTAGGTCCATTACGGATCAACAAATTTCCATTGAACATAATATCCCAGCCCCGCAAGATCCTGGGTTTGTGGTATTTGAGCAAAGTCAAATCGTTCAGTTACATCATAATCAACTGCTAGCATCATCAGATATTTCTAGTCACACACAGTCAGAACAGAAGCAAGTCCTTCACCAAGATGGGCAGATAAAACAGGATAATGAAAAGAATGAGGGGATCGTAAATTATGAGACTGACCGAAATCAAGCAGAGATAAAGCCCATACAAATCAAACGAATGTTCAAAACACCTATGGATTGTGAGACTAAGGTTGTCAAGCTTGGTGGTTCTATGGTGGAGGAGAAGTTGTATAATGATATTTACTATGATGACGTGCGTTACTCTCTTACTTTGCGTGGGTCATGGTTGAGGCAGAGAAATGGAAAATGGCAGCTACTGACAGAAGTATCCAGAGTTCCGTATGAAGAAGACTCAAATGAAAAGGAGATTGTAAAATTCTTGACAAAACACTACAATTGTAGTGAAAAAGGTTTCAAAGAATCCATTTTAGCTCTTGTTCATGAGCTTGGGCTCACAGAATTTTCCAACTTTATTACCATTCAAAAACATTACAAGATGCTCAATTGTACCATTAGCTTAGAACTGACTGACTTTGGATTCCAAGTGGGAGAAATAGCAGTTAAGGTGGCCAGTCCAGCCGAAACTCCATCAGCCTTACAGATAATAGATAATATGGCTAATGACCTTGGTAAGCTCGACTGAAATTATATAGCAATGCCTCTGTATTTTAATATATTTTTATATGTCTGCCATTAGAAGGAGCATTTTATCTTATGATTTGCTGCATCCGTCTGTCTGTCTGTTTGTCTTTACCAATTTCATTCTGCATAGCAGTTTAAATTCTCCCTATCTATAAGGATCAAACTTTGAAATGCTGCTTGCACTTGGGTTAAACTGAAGCCTATAAATTTTGAGGTCAAATGTTAAAGTAAAATCAGTTCTTTGCAATAACGTTTACTATTCTTCAGAGACCTAGACAAAACTTTGTAAATGGCTTGCACTTCGTCAAGGTAAATAAATATCTCTTGAATTGGAGGTGAAAAGGTCAAAGATCTAAGTAAATGTGATTGAAAGAAATATTATATCTGCACAAAATTTTAGTCATCAGCCATGTACATGTTGGGTAAAAAAAAGAGATAAATTAATCTGGGGGTAAAAGATCAGGGTCACTGCGTTAATAGAAGAAAAGTGTTTTTTTGCACAATACCTTTATATCTAGACCACATAGCTTGACCAAAGTTTGTTGAGGCTTACACTCAAAGTACAGGAGAGCCCTGTTGATTTTGGAGTCCAAAAGTCAGTGGTAAGGTTCATTGTTGTTGAAAGAAAGCAAAATTGTTTGTGTTGAATAACATTTTGTTTTAGACTATTTCTTGACCAAAAATTGTGGATGGCTTGCACCTAGGGTAATAAAGAAACCTATCGATTCTGGAACCTAAAAGTCATGGTAGGTCAATAAGAAAATAATGTTTCTACACAGTAAGTTTACTTATTACTGCATATCATGACCAAACTAATAACTACACTTTGTGTTTGAACCAGAGATCGGAC